TTTTTTTTTTTTTTTTTTTTTTTTGGTTGTTGATTGGGACAATTTTGGTAGACTATTATTTGCCTTCAAGGAGTTAATTTAAGCAGAAGAAATGAAATGTTATGATTTTATTCTTGTTTTCCATCTCAGTATGAAGTATGAATCTCCTGTTCTATCAAATCACATTTCAAGAAATGTTTTATCATCTGTGGTTCTGGATGTGCACAAGTTTTAGCTTCTTTTGTTGGTCAAGAGTGTGGAAAATGATTCACGGATGCCTGGCAGCTTTTTGTTTTTAATTTTACAGCACACTTAGTCATGTTTTCCAAAGTGAACACATCAAATTATAAGTACCAAAAAAAACAAAATTATTACATAGATTATGTATAGATGAACTGCCTGAATCATTTTCTATTATTTTATTGATCACAAATTTAACAACAAAAGGAAATGCAGACAATTGAATTGCAGCAACAAAACTCGAGATGCATACTCTCCAAGAGATGGTTATTCGGGAACGAAGAATCACAAATGAATTTTGGAAGAACACTAACGCCTCAGAACTAGCAGTATTAGTTGCGAGGTGGTGTAAGAGCAGCCTTAAGGCTCTCGACGGTGGCAACATCGATCTTGAATGATTTAGCCAGGATGTCATCGTCAATGCCCATCCCAAACAGGGTGACCGGAATCGACACAAACCCTGCATTTGCACTCCCAAAAGCAGAAATCGCCACTGCCAGCTTCCCTGTGTCTGCATCGTACTGGAAGTGCACCAATCCCTTGGGAAATATAAACATGTCCCCTGCTTGCAGCGTCTGGTTGAAAAGCTTGTTAGTCGTGTCCAAAAACCCAACTTCCATGGTACCATCGATGAGGAAAAGAAGCTCCGCAGAGCGAGGATGGGTGTGGGGAGAGGGTTGGTGGTGCCGGCTGGGTACTGGAGAACGGCCAAAGACACACTCTGCCCAATCAGAGCTGGGAATTCCTCTGCGCCGGCTTCTGTGACATTGAAGCTTGTAGGGAATGGTGAGCCGAGGACGGCACGCATTCCGGTAAACGTGAAGCTCCCATCAACGTTAGAATTGTGATATTGTATGTACTAATTTATTTAAAATAGGTAAATGTTATATAAATAAATTCTTGATATATAATTCTAGGAATAATAAGGAAAATACTTAAATATTCTTAATAAATCACACTCAATAAAATTTATTAAAAATATTTAAATAATTTCACAAATAATTTTAATATCTTTTTATCATATATTTAGTTTGAAAAAAAAAAGATAAATTTTTAATTAATTAAATTATAACTTTTTTAAATATTATAATCTAATTGATAAAAATAATCCTCTATCCCCCTTCTTTTCTTTTCATTTCCTCCACACCAAAGATGCTATTAATTTCAAAAGTCCACATTCACCTTTATCTATATCAATTTCCCATTTTATTCATTTGATGTGTGATGGGCTTGTATATCAACCAACCCACAAAGAATTGTGTTTTTCTTTAAAGAATTTCACATGTAGAAAGAATTCCTTGACATTTCACTCAGAAAAAGTGTCACATGCTGGCCCCATGCCGTCAATAATCACTTTTTTTAAAGCAGAAAAATCTTACCCATTTATTTTTTGTTAAA